AGAAAAAGAATATTCTAATTGCAGATCTTTTACCATAAATCGAAATGATCTGCATTACACAATTTTGAAAAACTCCTGACTGCATTATCAATTAAAATTGATAAGGATATTTGACGATTACAATTACTACTGTCAATTCTTATCGATTAAATTTAATTGATAATAATCAATTAATTGTTAGTAATCATAACCTATCACTTAAAAAATTTCCTAATGACTTGCAAGCTAAAGTCAACTTTTAATAGCTCATATATATAATAAACTTATACTTTATATATATATATTTGCATTTTATTGATAATTTTAATATATTATTTAGCCCAAAAGTTTATTTCTATAATGAATTAACAGTTATAAAATAAAAAAGTTGGCTATAGAAAATTACTGTTTTATTAAAAATTCATAGCATTTTTTAGAGATTTTTAAGCTTATTATTAGAGTTTGTTATAAGGAAGTTCATTATATAAAACCAACTATATATGAGTATTCTTAAAAAAAATCTACATAGATTACTATAATTTTTATAATAATCTATTTTTAGAGTTGTAGGTTTTCTTTTGACAGCATTCATATGTATAAAAATATTTTAAAAGCTTATTAAATACTCTTTAATGGCATTATATAAAAAAAATGCAGTTTACTAACTGCAAAATAAACATTAATTTCAATTTATAAATGGTAAGTCAGTTATATAATGCCAATTAATAATTGAGCAATAACAAAAAACAAAACCTTTTCAAATTAGAACTGCTTAAAATTTTCTTAATTGTTTAACGGTGTTAACTATTAATTTATCCGGCCTTAAGATATTCTGGCCCGTGATAAACATAACTCTGCCCAGGATTACGAAACAATTTTTTATACGGTTAAATGATTCTAATCCTTAATTTTCATTATTGCCCATTATTTTAGAATTATCTGATTTTCATCATAACATTTTCATGTATAGAGTGAGCTACCAAAAATATCAAAATTATAAAATTCATAAATTAGACCAATCAGAATTAGCAATTTTGTGCTACTTCAGTAACTTTAGATTAACCTCAGTAAATTTTATCAATATACGAAGGTGAATTTTTTTAAAAGATACAAAGTACAAAATCATACTACTATAAACAAGAGACCTCAAACTATATAATGTAAAGTTTTGGTAGAGAATAGTTACAATTTTAAAAAGTTGTATCAGAGGTGCATTTTTGTTTCTATGTAAAATTTTATTGTACCACGTACGTACGTACGTACGTAGATCGTATGAAAAATGATTTAAATTATCAACTGTCTTAAATCTTTTTTTTTTTCATATGTCATCAATCATTGAATAGCTATAATAAGTCTAATAATTGACTGCATTAAGGACGGATCTAAGTTATTTATAATCGGTGGAGATTGAAAAATAAAAGAATCAACAAATTTTGTGATCGTACGCAGAACATGTACAAGACAAATCGAATGCCCAACAGAAAACGAAACTTAACGTGTTTATTGTATAAAAATTTTCTTTTCGCCATATATATAATAATATTAAATCATATGTCAGCAAATAACTTAAGCACTGTAAGTAAGATCTCGGTGGTTATGCTCGGTTCATCATTGTTGCAAGTGCAAGTATTCGGAAGTTGTTTTCAAACACCATCTTATATTGCATTACTAATAACTGTTAATTAAGTTTTCATATTGTAACAATATTTTTGTTGTTAATGATGGCTTCACAGTATTTAGACCACTGTAAAAATTAGACATAGTCTTTTATAGATAAAATAACATAATCAGCATAATTATTCAATAAAAATTGTAAGTGAAACAATTTAAATTATTTACCACACTCGACGTTGTTCCCATTTCACGTAATGATATAATCGCTGATTCTCTACACAAATTCTTTAAATCTGCACCCGTATATAATTCCGTCTTGTTTAAGAGGTCAAGTAAAATTTGATTTATATTCTAATGAAAAAAAAATTTAAACAATAAAATTCATTATATCTGAGATTACCTGCTTAGCAATCAAATTTAGATCAACATCATCACCTAAAGGCATATTTGAAGTATAAATTTTCAGAATTAGCTTTCGTGCAGAGAAGTCTGGCGGTGGAACCTAGTATCATAATGTAGCTATAGCACAATTAAAAAGTTTACATTCCATATATACTTTTTAGAAAGCTTAAATAAAGCTCACATATATAAGCTTATCAAATCTACCAGGTCTTAAAAGCGCAGCATCAAGCATGTCTGGTCTATTTGTTGCACCCTTAAATTATTAAATATCCTTGCGTCAATTGCTAATTACAAAATTATATAGAAAACATATCAATAAAAACAAACTTACTACAACGAGTACTGATGTGGTAACTTCGATGCCATCCATTTCATTCAATAACATCGATAAAATACGTTCTTGAACACTATCACTATTACCACTACTTCCCAACGATCTTTTACCAACAATTGCATCAATTTCGTCAAAAAATATTATAGAAGGAGATGTAGAACGTGCACGTTGAAATGTTGTTCGAACTATTGTATATGTGATGTTAAATTGAAATTAAATAGGGTTTTATAAAATTTAATTATTAATCCGCAAGAATTGATCAAACTTACTAATTTGTTCAGAGTCACCCACATAGGGTGAATATAATTGAGCTCCATTGATAGAAAGAAAAGTAGCACCAGATGTTGAGGCTATTACCTAAAATTATATACTACGTGCAAATTACCGAAATAAATCTATCATTACTTGAATTAATGGCAATTTTCCTACCTTAGCCAAAGTCGTTTTGCTGCAGCCAGGTGGTCCATACAATAATATTCCATTTGGTGGTTTTAAACCTAACCTTTCAAATGTATGACGATATTTTATGGGCCATTCTACTGCCTGCTTTAATTTCTATTCAAAATTTTGAAATTCTCATTATTATTAATGAATAAAGACGTATTTTAGTACTTAATATCAACCTTTTTTACATCTTCTAGACCTCCAATGTCATCCCAATTTATCTTTCCGACATTGATATGATACCCACGTCGTAAAGACGGTACAACATGCAACATTGCACCCGTAAAGTCGTCCATCTTTATCTTTGGTATTAAACTATTTGTTACAAAGTCAAATAATTTATTAATAATATATAATTTAGCTTAAGATAAAATCCTGAACGTACTTTACACCATTTTTTTCAAGTGTTACTTGTCGATGAACGGCGTTCATCGCAGCTTCTCGACATAGAGAGGCCAAATCTGCACCAACGTAACCATTTGTAACGGAAGCTAACTGGACTAGAATAACATTATCTTGCATGTAAGTATCAAATATGCAATAATAATTATCGTAATAATATATATATACATACCCAGATCAACATCATCACCCAGAGGCATTTTAAATGTTTGTGATTTCAGGATTTCGAAACGCGATTGCTCTGAAGGAACATCCACAGCTATTTCACGATCAAACCTATTAAGAATTCCATAAATAAAACTGAACCATTTTATACTAATATGTCAAAGAAATCTTATCATTTCATACCTACCAGGTCTTCTTAATGCCGGATCAATGGCGTTTGGTCGGTTGGTTGCTGCAATAACTATTAGCCTACCTCGCGACTCCATACCGTCCATTAATGTCAAGAGTTGTGCGATAACGCGTGACTCATGGAATTGTGTTTCAGTTCTGCGCGGCGCTAATACATCCTACAAAATGTTCAAAGATACGTATTAACAAAAATAAAATACGTTTCATCAGTTGATTTAACATTTAAGCATACCAATTCATCAATAAATAAAATTACAGAACAATTCTCTTTAATTGTTAAATTTTTTGCTTGGGAAAATGCATCACGTAATCTCTTTTCACTTTCACCAAAAAAAGGTCCAAAAATATCAGGTCCATTAACAGTAATCTATGAAATATGACGACATCTTAACTAGATGAACTCAAAATTAAAATTAAAGATGCTTATGAAATTAAACTTGAATGGTGAAATAATTTCACCACTGTTGTTGAAATTGGTATTTAATTTGTGAAATAACTTCACCATATTAGTGAAAATGTACCATTTTTGCATCACAAGCCTTGGCGATTTGATTAACAAGAAATGTTTTCCCAACACCAGGTGGACCGTACAGTAAAATTCCTAATGCAGAAAATATAGAATTTACTTATAAACAATATAAATTGTGTAAATCGTAGGTATTATGATTAACAAAAACCTTTTGGACATTCGATATTTAATTGTTGGATTAAGTCCCGATATATTAATGGGTAACTAATGACTTCATAAAGAGCTTCATAAGCTTCATGAAGACCTGGAACAGGGTTTGGAATTTTCTCTTCCAATGTAGTAGAACCCAGCAATGATGTGATTTCATCAATATCATCAGTAATGTTAATATGTGTATCACAGGTAAAAAGTTGAACCGAGTTTGATGGATTTGTCTCATGAATCTTGCGCCGAATAAGAAAAATAAATTGGGCGTGTAAGGAATCGTATATCATTAAATAAAAATAAAGGCAAAATATTAAAGTAATTTAAATACCACAATTTCCAAACAACGTCTTTCGTCAAATATTGAGCATCCTTTACATATTACCATATCGTTTAATAAACTTCGAATGGTCTAAATCAAGTATTTACAAGTCAATCTACTGATTGAAATATATAATTCACATTCGATCGATAAAACTAACCAAATGCTTAATAGTTTCGGAACCATTTTCCCATATGAATCCAAAATCATCAAATTGTCTTTTTTCTTTATCATCATCACCATATCTGAATTTGATGAACAATGTCACATCAATAGATGCTTGTATGGGTGTTTTTAGAGGAATCAATGAACCTAGTATTTTATTTGTTACAATTAAGTCCGCACATCTTATTATTTTGGAATAAGAAAGTCTATGATAACTTACATGAAAGATTATACAATGAAATAGGAGAAGAAACATTTTGATTTATTAGACTATCAGCTTGAATAATATTATCCGGCAAATTAGCTTGCCATATACGACAAAATAATGACTAAAAAATATATATATTCATATATTTATTACAAATTTAAAGAAATCTATCATTTAAATCTATCTTTTTTTTTATATATCGACTTACCATATGGTTCGAATCAACACGAACCCATTGACCAGCTTTTATTTTTCTTTTTTCTAAAACAACATTTGATACTCTACAACGAGCCTTTCCAATATCTTCAGGAACTGGCGGTAATAAAATCATTTCTTGTGACATTTTTCTTATATCTATTTTCTGTTTGCTAGATCAAATGCTTTTTAATGATAATCAGTCATGCGTAACCGATACGTATGTGCGCACAGAATTTCCAAATTTGTGTAATTTAAAAAAAAGTGTTTATTTTCGAGCCTTCCAGTGGAATCTTATACATAGTAAGAGTTCCAGTAGCACTACTAATTCAAACTTTCTCTAATAATGTTAATAATAATTTAACACGCATTTTTTTGTGATGTGACAATTTCAAATCGTACATCATTTTATGCTAGAAAAAACAAAAATACGCAGTTATCGGTGATAGGGAAAAAATAAGTTATGAAGAAATTATCAGCCATAGGACTAAACTGACATGCCAAATTTTATGTGTAAAAAATTTATACTATAGAAGATTTAATTTAGAAGATATAAATTTTTACTTTAAACTTTAGCCAATTTTTATGTATATAATACACTCCTATCGAAAACCCGCAATAAGACTCATATCGAGGTTTTCCCAGAAGTAGGATAATATATAGTTATTGGTGCGTAGCGTCCAATAACGGTATTATCCGTCAGATTACGACGATCGGGCATAACATGAAGCGAGTAAA